CGATGTGTCGGAGATGTAATGCCGATGACATAGTCTAGTCTCTGCACTTCAATTCTGTAAGTTATATTATGGTTTAGTCTCTGAACTTTAAATTTTAAGTTTATTTTGCCTTTTGTCCCTATACTTTAACTCAAAACCTAGAGGTTGAATTATAGTTTTCAGTCCTTTATACATTCAACTTGAGAATTTTATGCCCTACTTCAAATATTGAAACTATTTGAACTCCACCGCATCTCAAATTGAAAGATAATACGTGTTTTAAGCACATCCTCTAGCTCGAATTCGAATTAAATAATATTTTCATTTTATAATATTAATATTAAATATTTATAAAACGAGAAGTAAAAGTAGTTAATTTAATATCGCATTTTAAAAAATTTATGTAAATCAATTTAATTAATATTTATGAAAATAAAAGATTAATAAAATAATTTTTTGATAATTTGGGGTGATTATGAGGTAGTATATTTTTAGAACTTTCTCAAGCTATTGATATTGCAAAAGCAACCTGTAAACACAACTGTTCGAACTTAAGACCTTTTAGGAAGAGTAATATTTCCTCTTAAAAGATCGTTAACTAACCTATGTTGTATTGATAAAAAATTATCGCTTTAATTTCAAGAATAAAGTACACAAATGGTCTCTCGATTATTGGGTGTTGTTTTATTATCTTCCGACAATTAAAAGTTATAAATGATCCTTTGATTAGATAGGGTGTCGATTGGTTGAGTCTTGGATTATTAAAAGTTATAAAATGATCACCCGACTATTCATTCATATATTACAAACTCGTCATTTTTCGTTAAAAATTAACGACAATTTGAGTTGGATGTTAACTTGTTGACAAAGATATATTAAAATATGATCTAAGAATCTAAAACAACTATCATATCTCAGTCATCATGTTAACATCCAGCTCAAACAACTGTTATTTTTTAATTGAAAAATGATGAGTTTAGACTAGAACATATGAATAGTCATGTGATCATTTTATAACTTTTAATAATCGAATAATTCAACAAAATGATATCATATAATCATTTTATAATTTCTAATAGTAACGAGATTCAACAAAACAACTCATATCATAAACCATGTGTATTTTACCCTAATTTTAATTAATATTAGATTTCATATCAATTTTAAACAATCTATCTCCTATTAAAGAAAATGTCGAGAGATGAGATTAGGTGAACCAGCCAACTTTGGTGTCCCACCCCAGAACAAGCGGGGGCTAGGCTCTTATGGCCCAATGGCTTAAACATCAGAAAATCTATGCAGTTCCCATCTGCCTAACTTCATGGGACCAACAAATTTTCCAGACCCACTACAGTTTTAAAACTTTTCGGTTTAGTCGTATTTTATTAAATTATTCAAGTCGGATCAAGAACGAGATTGTAAGATCATAAAACCATCTTAATCAGAGCCAACTTCATTATATGAACAGTAAGCAAGAAACCGGGGTTAGTGCTTGTAATAATTTGGACCAAGGATGTTTGTGTTGTCTCATTTTATTTGAGTTTTAGTGGAGGATGCAAATGAACTTTAGAATGGGTGTGTGTTTATCCTGAAATCGAAATTTCTTTATGTTAGTTATCTAACTTGAAATTTTTATTTGTGTCTATCCCATATAAAAATTTTCTATTATTAGTATATATGTGCTCATCTTCAAAAATATTTCTAGATCCATCGTTGATGAATTTGAATCTCAACATTTATCCTAAAATATAGTATATCTTTACTTAATAAAATAATATTTATAATCAATAATTTATTCTATTTTTGGGATTCAGGTTTATAATATTGATTTTAAAATTTAGAAGCTACAATTTTATTTTGCTTTGAGTTTCTATATCATGAGTTGAATAGTAGTAATAATAAATCATCACAAATTAAATTATGTTTGCCCCCACATCCACATGGTGGTGAGATAAGAAGCACACCCCCACCTCCTTCATATGTGGTGCTTAATAATTTTAAAATAACTCGAAAAATAATTAATATATACAGGGGAGGAGGTAGGCCTGGACCTTCCTAAGCCATGGATCCCAATGCTAAGAGACAAAAAATAATTTTATAATTTTATTAAATTTAGATATGATTATAATTTTATTTAATCAAAATTAAATTAATTAAAGTCCTATTTAATTTTAAATTTAAGTATACTTTTATCTCTTCAATATCTTATATTAAGAAAAATATAATTTTATTAATTTTAATTTTAATTTTAATTCTATTTAATCAAAATTAAATTAATTAGAGTCCTACTTAATTTTACAATTTTATATCTTCAAAATCTTATAACTTATATAATGTGATGTCTTCTCTTTCTTGTTTATTTATATTCATTATATGATTTTCAAATTCAAAGAATTATTTTAAAAACATGAAGGTAATTGAGTATCTTAACTAAAATTTTAAGTGTTGATGTTATTTTGCAGGGTTTTTTTATTAATTTTTTCTGAATTTGCATACTTTATTTATTTGTTCTTTAATTACTTATGAATTTGTGGTGTTATTAACGTTTGTTTAGCAATTTTTCAACATCACCTACAAGATTATAATAAAAATTTAAAAGATACTCCTCGTATCTTATATTATTCAATCAAAAATTTTCATTATTTCGTTTGTCTCAATCATAGATGATTTTGATTCTATGAAAAAAAGTGTTCATCTTGTTACATGAAAATATTATATTTCGAACTATGTATTTTGTTAAAATAAATTTTAAAGTTCTTTTAGAACATGTAATTATACTGGTTTTAGTTATTAAATTTTTAAATTGAAAGATTATATATATGCTAAACATTAGATAAACTTTTTATTATGTTTATATTGGCCAGTCAATAAATATTTTTTACTGAATTTGTCACTGAATATAATATAAAATTTAATGAAAATAATAATGAAAACACAACAGAATATAGAGATTGATGTTGAATGAAATCAAGTTAATGACATCTTAGTGATAAACAAATCAATGATTAGGACCCACTTTATTATGAGCTTCATGATATTTCCAAATCCTAATGGCTTATACACTTGAATGATGTCCAATAGTGTTTAGTTTAGTTTAAGTGTAATTTGTAATTTTTTTTTTATTTCCGTTATTTCGGACAAGAATATTTTTGAAATAAGTGAATTATTTCAAAAGGAACATTCTTTTTATTTCTTAAATCGTTTGTTAAATCTGTAATAAGATTCTATTCTTCTTCTTTTTATCTGACTATATTTATTGTCGATAATTTTTTTTTTCTTTAGCTGTTGATTTAAGTTTTCCTTAAAAAAGAATGAAAAATAGAGAAACAAATTTTTTTCTCGATAAATTTACTTAATTATCAACACTTAATTACATTGGTATGAGTTAGTTCTTTCGTTATTAATTTATCCATACTTAATTACACCGGTATAAATTAGTTCTTTCCTTTACTGAATTATCACACTTATTTATAGCGGTGTAGGTTAGTTCATTCATTTACTAAACTATAAATCCATCATGGCACAAATCTACATTTTTCTCAATTCAGGAAAAAAATTAATTTTATGGGTAATTAGAAGTAAGCATTGTTGGAACTTTTATTTTAATTTCAAATATATGAGATTTTGAAATTGTAATATTTGAGATTATTCGATTTCTTATAAACAAAATCATTTTTTATATTTTTATTATAATTAATAATAAAAAAGTTTAATCAAATAAAATAGTCAATGGACTTCACTTTCAAAATTGAATAACAATGATCGCAGATTTTGGATTCTTCATTGTATCACATTATCCCTTAACAATTCAGTTAGATAAGACATTTTGTGTACTATATAACACCCAATTATTTGGTTGTGCCAACTGCCCAACCCTCCAATTCTACCACTAATCACGATAGTCAAGATACCATTATTTTCATATATATATATATATATATATATATATATATAAATTATGTTACTGAGAATATTTGGTTTTGTATATTTTGATTAATTTTTTCTTTTGATTTAGACGAAGAGTTACGGATGGTAAAAAAGCGATCATTAATTAATGTGTGAATAAAGAAGATCGATCATGAAAAGTAGGAAGAAGTGGACAGTTGAAAAAAGTGACCTCTTTTTCAAATGTGATATAAGGTATTTGTAGTAACATATAATATAATGTGTGTTAATCATATGATCATAATAGGACCAATTCGTTATACCAGCCTGCAATTCTAGCACTAATCACGATAGATCAAGTCTTGACTATCAACATATCATTCTTTATTTTTAAATATATATATATATCCGGGTATAACTTTGAATAAAAGAACTTGTATAAAAGATTATATAAATTCATATACTCACGAATTTATATATAATAAGTATATATCTTATGAATAAGAAAGCGTTTTAAGGGATGAAACAAATCTATTTACTATTGAAGTCGTTTGGTTCGTGCTTAAACATCAACTTTAATACTTTCAATGTACTTTATTTTACAAAAATCATAGAAAATTTAACTCAATTTCATCTTTCTTAAAAAATACCTCCAAATTCGATCTATAGTTAAATAGTATAAAATTAAAATCTGAAATTTATACAATAATTGATTACATTGATGTGACATAATATTTGGAAGTGTAACATAATCGGTATATTACAAAAATGATTTAATATATATCTAATTTATGTAAAAATTGAAGTTATTTAAATATTTAAAAATTGTTGTTCGAATAAAATTTGTGTTAAAGAAATAAATTGTTGTATATTGATTAGAACTCTAATTTTAAGTTGAATTTTATTAATTATAGTGATTAAGATCATTAGTATTTAAGTTTGTCCAAGTAAAAAATTTAATGGAGTAAAGATTTTTGGTGGAGTTTATTTTCTCTATAAATATAGAATGTTTTGGGAGCTTTATTGGAGTTCAAAGGGGTTTCGTTTCAGGCTCTATAAAAGTATTATATAATTATAGATTTTGATCTAATAATATGTTCATTTTTGGTGAAGTTTATTTTTTTTCTATAATATAGAATGTTTTTTTTTGTGATTTCTACATTTATGGTGAATTTATTGTTTCTATTATCTGGTGAAGTTAAACAAAATCAACATATTTTAAATTCCATCTCCTGCATATGATATTTATTACTTTTCCGGTTATAAATTTTTAAGAAATAAAAATCATTTTTGACATTTCAATAGTCAACACTCGAATATTTTAATTTCAAAATCTTGAGTCCAGATCTCGTTGAATTCATTGTGTAAATTGCAATCCATTTTGAAATTCTTTTCTTTACACTCTACGAAGTTCGAAAGGATAACGTTGAAGTATCAATAAATATTCATATACGATATTTTAACAGTACCAAAAGAAAAATGAAAAACACATGATTTGAAATAATAATTTTTAAAAAAAAGGTACTTTGTATTAGAGAGGATTACAAAGTACATCACCTCAACCTCATTAAAAACTTCTCTAACCCTTAAATGGAAGAAAAAGAGTGAACCTTGAGGTGGTAATTAAGCGATACAACAGTATCTGATACACAGAACAGTCCCCAACCCAACTCATGGACAACGAACAGACGAACCAAAAAATTGGATGAAAACTATAACTAAGTGAAACTGGGCCAATAAAGCAGGAAAATCATGAAGCAAATGGACCGTAGAGCTTGCAATCATGCAAACAAGAGACAAAAACAAATGCTAGCAAGCCTTCCAACGAGTCTGAATAGCTGAAAAGCCACTAGTCTGGAACAGGGGCAGAAACAAAATACCAGAAATCAACAGCAGCTCAATTCACCCAGCCGGCACTAATCATGAGGCATGAAGAACAATACTGCTCCTCATATGGCTAAACTCACGAAACCTACTACCATCCGAGGATAACTGGAGGTCACTCAACAGGATAAGAAGCCAACAACAAAATTGCATAAAAAACAAAACCTGTAAAAACCTGTAAAAGTTGTCTAACATCAAAGGGGAGGGTAATCCTAACTCTCCATAAAAAACACCACCTTTGCCACACTTGCCAAACAACATTACAATGGCAAAGCACATGGCTAACATCTTCCGAATGCTCTTTACAAAAAAATGCAAAGAGGCTGAACGCACCCAACAACCCCTCTCTTGATCAATTCAGTCGCTACCGGCAGTCTGTTATACACCTCTTTCCAAACAAAAGCAACTACTTTAGGAGGAACGAATTTGTTCCAGACTTTATTCCATATGGGATCTTGTATCTTACCGACCGAAGCCAACTTTATACAAAAATCTCTAGATAGATGTCATTGGACGCCCCTGACCACATCAATCTATCTACCCAGGAACAACAGAAACTCCATTGTTAATAACTTGATTAAATTGAATCCAACTCAGAATTTCCCATGAGAACAACTCCCGCCTCAACTCGATGTTCCATATCCATAAACCATTCTCCCAGCTTCCGAACTCATTAATTTTGCCTTTATTTTTAATGACCCATAAATTCTAGGGAAAGCTACTTCAAAGAACGGACGGCGGTCCAATTATCAGTCCATAAATCTATTCTTGAATTCCCCCATAACACACGGACATCATCCTCATTTGTCACCACTTTGCGCACTATCTCGTGCCACAAACCAGTTGAGTAACGAGCGCTAATGCCTTTGGGTAACATCGCAACAGGATCATACTTGTATTTAGCAACAACAATCTTTCTCCATAAGCTTTCAGAATCCTCACTAAAGCGCCAATCCATTTGTTCAACAATGTATGATTCTTGACTTTAACATCAAAAAGGCCTAGACCACCATGAGATTTCGGACCACTAATCATATCCCACTTAATCCAATGAATACATCTATCCACCTTAAAATTCCACATAAATCTCGCTATACATTTATTAATCATTTCGGCTATGGATTTTGGCATAGAAAATAACGACATGTAATACACCGGTAAGTTTACCAAAACGGACTTAATCAATGTAATCCTACCCCGAAAGATAGTAAATTACCTTTCCAGCTTTGTAGACGAGATCTGATCTTCTCCACAATTGGTTGCCACATCAGTTTGTTATTTTTTCTATAACCTAACGACAGCCCCAAATACACTGTTGGCAATCTTGCCGAATCACAACACAACGAATCAACCCACCCTTTAACCTTGTCATCTTCCACATTAATACCAAATAATTCCATCTTCTGTAAATTTAATTTCAGCCCGGCTACTACTTCGAAGATTCTTAGAACACGAAACAAGTTGAGAATATTATCTTCTTTGGCTTCCGAAAAAAGAATTAAATCGTCAGCAAATTGAACGTGAGAAACGCCTACTCTTGTACTCCCAATATACACCCCTCGACACACATCGAGTGTAACCGCTTTCTTCAACAATCCACTAAGCGCCTCGCCTACCACATTAAACAGAAACGGTGATAGCGGGCAGCCTTGTCTAAGTCCCTTTTTGATTGAAAAATATTTCGATGGACACCCATTAACCAAAACATCAATCTTTGGCGTCGAAACACATATATGAATCCATTTCCTCCATCTCTTGCCAAACCTCATTTTCTTTAAAATAAAATTCAAAAACACCCAGTCTACTGTGTCGTATGCTTTGCTGAAATCTGCTTTAACCATGACGGCTTCTGAAATTTTTTTTAGTTCATCTACAATCTCATTCGCAATCAATGAACAATCTAAAATTTGTTTTCCGGCTAAAAAAGCAAACGAGTTCTCGCCAATCACTTCTTTAATACAAGAACCCAATCTTTTCGCCAATACACGTGCCACAATCTTATAAATACTCCCCACCAACGAAATAGGTCTGAAATCTTCGGGATAGACAACTTGTATTTTCTTCGGAATCAAAGTAATAAACGATTTATTAAAGGAGAAATATGCAATTTTCACCCAATAAAAATCATTCACAAATTTCATAACATCGACTTTGATATCCAAAAATTACTTGAAAAAATCCAAGCTAAACCCATCCAGACCGGGAGCTCTTGAACCATCCGAAGAATGAATTGTGCGCCAAACCTCCTATTCCGAGAAAGATCTTTCGATCCATATTCTTGAGGCGGAACTGGTCATTCTAAACGGAATATCAAACTTCTTTATCGGAATAGTGGACACTTCGTTATAACAAGAGCGAAAGTGGTTGACGAAAGCTTGTTGGGTCCCTGCTTGATTTTTGAACACCGAATAATGCACATTCAACTTCCAAATCTTATTCCTGCGACCTCTAAACGCAATAGTGAGATGAAAAAATTTTGTATTCTTATCACCTTCCTTAAACCACTTTAGTCTCGACTTTTGCAACCATTCTCTTTCCGTCTTCCTATACTCCACCCATAACTTCGCCCTTACTGACATAATTTCAACTTGTGTAGCCTTGTCTGTTGGGTTCACCAAACACGACTTTTCTAAAGAATCAATTTTTTCTAGAACCACAATCTGATCAGACTTTAACTCTCTTCTCGCCTCAACCCAATCCTTAGTCACCTTCTTAGTTAACAACATGACATGATTCAAATCTTTACCTTGATTAGTGCCGAAGACCTTTCTAATTTTTTCAGCAAGAGAATGGTCGTCAGCCCAATGGTTGAACCATTTAAAAGGCCTATAAACCTTCTTAAGCTTCCTTTCACATAACTGGATAGGATTATGATATGATAAACCTCTATTTAGCGTAACTTGCACCAGATTTGGACTTAAACACACAAAGTCGGCTGAAATTAGGAATCTATCAAGCCTACTAGCTGATGTGCTCAAACATCCCCTAAACCAAGTAAATACGCTACCCAAAATAGGAACATCAACCAAGTCCCACTTCGTAATAAATTCTTCGAAATCCATCATGGAACACGAAATGTTTTGCTTCCTGTTCTTTCCAAGTCCGATCTCACAATATTAAAATCCCCGCCCACAATAACCGGAACCTTCATGTTTTCTATAATGAAATTTAACTGTTCAAAAAAACTCACTCTTTTTCCATGGGCATTCGGACCATAGAAATCTATTATGGCAAATCACTTTAAAGAATCACAATGAATCTCCTATAAACACAATGAATCTCCTATAAACGTTATGGCAAATCACTTTAAAGAAATCTTTATCCCACAAAGAAATCAACCCCCTGATGCACCTTCAGCCGGAGCACAAATCATGTCCGTAACAAACCTCCCTTTTAACCTTTTCTCAACACCAACAGGTAAGTTCACGACTTTAGACTCCTGCAACAGCACTACCCTAGCTTTACTTGAATTAATAACCCGACTTACTGCTCTAATTTTCTCAAACTTACCCAACCCTCTTATATTCCACGTCAATACAAAAAGACCTAAATCCATATGAAACTACTAAAAAACACAAGAAATTCACGCCCATATTACTAACACAGACTCAAGGCTTACCCGAATGGACACTGGACTCCAATCTCTCGAGAACCCTCTCCCTTAAAGCACCAAACTGCACGCCCAATGTATCTGCCACTTCTAGGCATACCTCCACTTCAGTAACATTTTCGGAATGTCGAACTGAATAATCAACATTAGAGGCCCCAATCCAAATTTGGGAATTTCCAGTAATTTTCCTCACTCTTTTACCTTTCACGCTCTTCTTTTTTTTACGTGCCTTTCCACCGTCCTGCAAACTAGGAATTTTACAAACACCCTTGGCTGACTTGCCCACAGCAGACTTAACAACTCCATCGAAGCAAGTAAAGACTTTATCTCTATTAACCGCATATGCTAATTCTCGAATACCACCCATACATCCTTGAAGAGAAGAAGCTTCAATAATTGGGACTTCTAAAAATCTGGAACTATTGGATATGGATTGTGACACTCCAATTTGGGTTGACTCTCTATTAATGTCCACTAATCCAATACTATCATCCACCAACAAATTCAAAAGCCCATCATTAGACATTATGGGCACCTCGTGTAAATCATCTCCGACATACTCCACAATCCCCACAACATAAGCTGCATGCAGAGACCTACTTTTCAGAAGACCATGTTCGCTCCTCTTACTTTGATTATCAAATACACTATCACCCATACAGCCTACCTCGTAACCATCATCTGCATCAGATTCGTCTTGCATCCTTGGAGAACGAACAATACCGTCAGATGCTGGAAAGACCGGACCACCACCCGACTAAGTGCCATCTATGAACAGTCTCTCTTCTTCATAAACCTTCGTCAGAATTGTAATGGAGAAAACCCTACCATTAATGAAAACGGAACATCTCTTCGGTATCACCGATGTAATATCCTAAAATTGGGGTTAGTGACTAAAATAGAAATTTTGAAACTTTGAGGATTGATTTTTGAAAGATTGAAAAGTATAAGAAATTAAATTGGAATATTTAAGTAGTGGATTAAATTACAAGGACATAAAGAATGAAGGTTATTATGGTCTTTTCAACATTAAGGATATTTTCTCTTCTTTCTTTAAAGATAAACACGTGGGATTTAAGGGAGAAGTTTGAAAGCTTATTCTTCTTCTTGCTTTCTTCTTCCCGTGAGCTCCTTGGTTAAGGTGAGTATAATTTCTGTGGATTATTTCTTAATGTTCAAGTGAGTTTTGATTCTTAAGGTATTAAGAAAGCTTAAGAAAAGCTGAAGTTATCTTAAAATCTAAGGATGGAGGAGTTAGGAGAGATTAAAGATTATGAACTCTTGAATGAAAATTTGGAATAAAGTTGATAAGTGGAAATTGAGATTATATTTGACTTTTCAATGAATGAATTAAGAGATATAAGGTGTTAAAAGTGGATTTAAAACACATAGAAAATTTGGTATGATTCTTGAATTCTTTTTGGAAGATGGGATTTTGAGGATAAAGATGTGATAAATGAGAATAAATGAGTTTAAGCATGAATATGTAAGTTAAGAATAAGAGAGGGGATGATATATGAAGCAATTAAGATGAAAAGAGTGAATTTTTGTGCATAAATTAGATTTCTGGGCTAGTGTGCATCAGTACACATTCAACATGTACCGATGCATCAAGGGTAAATTTCCAGAAATTGTTCAGTGTGTATCGATGCACAGGAAGTGCATCGATGCACCCTTTAAAATGGAAACATCGAATGCAATTAGTGCATCGATGCATAAGGAGTGCATCGATACACCCTCTTAAGATTAAAACATTAAATGTGATTTGTGTATCGATGCATGGGTAGTGCATCGATGCACATGTTAAGGGATGCATCGATACACTGAAGAATGTATCAATCCACTTCAAGGGAAAATAGAATAAGGTCTTTCTTTTGGTCTAAGAAATGATAGATTAGAATACATCAATTAGATAATGATATGTATCAATGTATAAAAAAGTAGATATCGAGCACGAACAAGTTCCGGGATGACCATCAAGTTAAGATTCGATCGGAAGAAATAAAATTATAAAAGGGGATTGGAACTTAGTGAGGCCAAGGTGAGTGCATACAAGTTAGTTTATGATGTTTAATGGAAATAAGACTTGCAACGAGTCTATTTCCTATATTAGAATGCATGAATTTATGATCATATGCATATGTTTGATTTAGGTATATGTGATATATATTACAGTATGTATTAAATGATTTGTGTGAATACATGTCTTTTGATAAGTTATAGGAATTAATATGAATGATCTATATGATTACATGGGAATGTGAAATAGGTTATGTGATAGGTGACCATACAAGTTACATAGTATTCGTGATCAATTATAAGAATCAATATAATAGATTTATATGACTAGATGAGAAAGGTGATGAATTAAATAAGATTAGACTATAGAGTAATATGAGAATAATATATTAGTGAAGAGAATTGAATATAAATGATGATACCAAACCATAATATAAGTATTTACTTATAGGATAATATGAGATTATATAAATATATAGTATAACTTTATGATGAAGAATTGGGTGTTATATGATTTAGGTATGGTAATGATCTATGTGTAAGTAAATTACGTAATTATGTGACTAGGTGTGAAATGGAGTACATTAGGTAATTATAAGGTATGTGAATATAGGTATATAAGATAAGCCACATGACTAGGAATTAGGTGAAATTAAATGGTGAGAATGATATGACAAAAAGTTATAAGAGAATATGTTATGAGAAGATATAAGAACAAGTATAAGCTATGTGATATGTGAGTATTATGAAGATGTTCTATGTGCAAGTGATCTTTGTGTATGTGTGATTTATATGGAAATGAACTACTTGACTACGTGTGATCTTATAAAAATGTAATAATAAGACATGTGACAAGAGATGTGTGATTACATGAAGGTATGATATAAGATATGTGAAAGGGATCTATATGAATATTTGTCTATGTGAATACAAATATATGTGATATGATATATATGATAATGAGGTATGAAACTCTACGAGAATATTACACAATCTACGTGACAAGTAGCTATGAGATTATATGCCTATGTGATACGAATGTGTGAATATATGACAAACATTAATATTAATACCCATGTTATGTGTCTTGAGAGCTAGATGTATAGTTGGCATGCCAAGAGTCGAGGGCCTACGCGGTCCTTCGAGACATATATGTATTCTTTGGAATATGTATGAGGTCTTTTGAGACACATATTTGGTCCTTAGCATATGTATATGATTCTTAAGGAATTTTCTACGTGGTCCTTAGGGACATTTTATATGGCACTTCGGTGTAATTCTACACGGCACTTTGGTGCAATTCTACGAGTTGTGGTGACATCATTAGTGCACAACCTCTAGAGACTCACATATCAATAGTTCTCACATATGTACATGGGCTAATCAAGAGATAATAACAAATATATATTGTGATATGATAAATTTTATAGCAAGGACATGATGAGGTATATGTATAGGATATGATTAAGCAGGTTAAGTATATGTGCTATGTGATTAAATGGTAAGTGACTAACGATGATTTATATGTATGCATGTATTTCTTATTAGATAATCTGATATGATTTATATGATGATGTTTGTATTGCTTGGTTAATTGAATAATATGTTGAGTAAAAGAATAGATATAAGAGGATATAATTATAAGATATAAATGATAAGAATATTGATAGTGGAATAAGATTAGAGATTTAAAATAATGCATAATATGTATATGTGTATAGTATGTTATATATATATAATGTTATATTGTTTTGATGTGGCATGATAAGATGATATGTTCATACATATTTAAGCATTTAGAATTTCCTTTATAAGTTTAATGCCTCACTAAGTCATAGACTTAGCGTGTGATTGTTCACACGTAGGTTACAGAAGCGAAGCGAGAAGAGAAGCGAAGAAGAGCAAGACAGGTAAGCATCTCCCTTACAAAATTTCAGATCAGAAAATAGAGAATTTAAATGTGTTTGGTTATTTTGAATATAGTTGGCATGTACTAATCGATTGAGTTGAATATGCTCTGATCGATTTTGGTTATTTTGGTCGATTTACGTAAATAAACCGCTTTTATTTTAATGAAAGTTTTAAATTTTCTTTGAATTTTTTCAAGAGTCAAAGTTTGAAAAGTCAATGTGACACCTCAGACTCGTATTCAGGTCGGGTACGGGTTGGCGGTGTTACATTTAATGGTATCAGAGCTAAGGTTTAGCCGATTCTAGGCTTAAACCGAAGGTAAAAGAGTTTTAAAAATGTGTACATGCCAACATAGAGTGAAAATTTCTGATATGATAGTGTAAGGAATGTGTTGTCTTGCTAATAGAATTAGATTGCTAAGTTATAATATAAGTATGATTATGATAATTTCGATGTATAGTGAAAGGCAATATTCCTAACTATGATAGCTATTCACCTGTCTTGGCCAGGCAGGATGAAGAGAGGGACATCTCAGGAAGTGCCTCGCAAGATCAAAAGTTGATTTTAGAAAATTGAAATTGTATTAGAATAGTGATAGAAGATCTTCATTATTTTGAATCAGAAAGGCGATATGAATTAGTTTTGTTAGTGCATGGATAAGATAGAATATGGTGAATAAGTGTCTCCATAAGAATGTTAAAAATATCAAAGGATATGGTGAGTATTTGTATAAGAGTTCAAGAATAAATGCATTAGTGACAAGTGTATAAGGTATATGAAGACAGAGTTTATGAATTTGAGATAACATGATAGTACTATGGTTAAACAAGAGTATGGATACGATAAGGGTTTGCATTCTAGATGTGATAAGGATTGATCATCAGGGATAAGTATAAAAGAGTATTGAAATAGCAAGAAAAGATATGGATCTTCAACGATCAAAAGTAAGTGTATAATCAAAGAAGAGAAAAGATGGAAAATGTATTGGAGTTAAAGGATTTGAAGATATTGTCAGGATAAGTTAATCAAATATGAAATGGATATGGATATAGTTGTGTATCTCGATTATATAAATGTGACGTAATGAAGGAGATAAGGATTTGTATGTTTAAGGAAAATGATGTATGTAAGTGAGGTATGGAGGGCTTGTGCCTAGACTAAAAGAATATCATTGGTATTGAAATTGTTCTTTTCAAGAAGTGGTGAATTTTGTTAAAGATCTAGAGAGATCTCAGAAGGATTAAGAGAATTCATAATTCATATCTCACAGAAATCAACACTATCGAAGAGAGAGACAAAGATTATGATTTTCAACTACATACTCGGTTTGAATTAGTTGTATTTTATGTCAAATGATCAAATCTGACGAAAGTCAGACCCATTTAAATAATAAAGTCTGGTATTGGGGGAAAATTAAATAAGAAGTTGAAAAAGGATATGAAGAAATATATGAAGGTGGACGAATGGGTCAAGATTTATGTTAGAAATTATGTTAATTAAAGAAGAAAAGTCGTTAAAATGGATCAAATAACATAGATATTATTTCAAAAGAGATTAAAATGTGTACATCGGTGATTAGTTTACAAGACAAATGAAGTTGGAATGTTGAGTTTAGCAAAGGAAATTGCATAGAGTATGAGGAAAGATGTGGTAAGTTAAGTGAATTATTGAGGGATTAATTCTAATTGAAAGGAATGTATGCAGTTGGTTCGATGAATGTTTACGTTTCAAATTAGAAGAACTGGTATTGATTAACGAAGTTATGTGATAATAAGTGTAATGGAGTTGAAGAATTTGATATCATAACACGGTTTTGGGTAGTTCATATGTATTATAAGAGTTATGAAGATGTGATAAAGATCATTAATCAAATATGAGAATAAGTGATAGGAAAAGAGTATGTGAGCATGAAAGAAAAGATATTATTTGTGTAGAAGGAGATTTGTGTAAAAGGAGATTTGGATTTTGAATGAATAAGGGAATAATGGAATAAGGAAATGAAAGGATAAAGTTTAAAGAATCATATGTGATAAAGGCTATGTTTTTGGTCAAGCAAACTTAGTCAGATAAATAAAGAATGATTAATATGTATTAAGGAAGTTTAAGAAGTAATTAAGTGATGATGGAATAAAAGCTGTCTATTATTGCAAGGCAATTAAAGATTGATAAGGATGTACAAAGGAAAAAGGTGGTTGAAGAAATAAATGGAGAAAAGATTAAGTAAATGAGGCAACATGAGAACATTAGAAGATATGTTCTTATTGATATGTGTAATGAAAATTCAAGTACGAATTTTCTTAAAAGGAGGGGAGATTTGTAATATCCCAAAATTGGGGTTAGTGATTAAAATAGAAATTTTGAAACTTTGAGGATTGATTTTTGAAAGATTGAAAAGTATAAGAAATTAAATAGGAATATTTAAGTAGTGGATTAAATTATAAGGACATAAAGAATGAAGGTTATTATGGTTTTTTCAACTTTAAGGATATTTTCTCTTCTTTATTTAAGGATAAACACATGGGATTTAAGGGAGAAGTCTGGAAGCTTATTCTTCTTCTTGCTTTCTTCTTCCCATGAGCTCCTTGGTTAAGGTGAGTATAATTTCTGTGGACTATTTCTTAATGTTTAAGTGAGTTTTGATTCTTAAGGTATTAAGAAAGCTTAATAAAAGCTGAAGTTATCTTAAAATCTAAGAATGGAGGAGTTAGGAGAGATTAAAGATTATGAACTCTTGAATGAAAATTTGGAATAAACTTGATAAGTGGAAATTGAGATTATATTTGACTTGTCAATGAATGAATTAAGAGATATAAGGTGTTAAAAGTGGATTTAAAGCACATAGAAAATTTGGTATGATTCTTGAATTCTTTTTGGAAGATAGGATTTTGAGGATAAAGATGTGATAAATGAGAATAAATGAGTTTAAGCATGAGTATGTAAGTTAAGAATAAGAGAGGGGATTATATATGAAGCAATTAAGCTGAAAAGAGTGAATTTTCGTGCATAAATTAGAATTCTGGGCTAGTGTGCATCGGTACACATTCAACATGTACCGATGCATCAAGGGTAAATTTCCAGAAATTGTTCAGTGTGTATCGATGCACAGGAAGTGCATCGATGCACCCTTTAAAAATGGAAACATCGAATGCAATTAGTGCATCGATGCATAAGGAGTGCATCGATACACCCCTTAAGATTAAAACATTAAAGGTGATTTGTGTATCGATGCATGGGTAGTGCATCGATGCACATGTTAAGGGATGCATCGATACACTGAAGAATGTACCGATGCACTTCAAGGGAAAATAAAATAAGGACTTTCTTTTGGTCTAAGAAATGATAGATTAGAATACATCAATTAGATACTGATAAGTATCAATGTATAAATATGTAGATATCGAGCACGAACAAGTTTCGGGATGACCATCAAGTTAAGATTCGATCGGAAGAAAGAAAATTATAAAAGGGGATTGGAACTTAGTGAGGCCAAGGTGAGTGCATACAAGTTAGTTTATGATGTTTAATGGAAATAAGACTTGCGACGAGTCTATTTCCTATATTAGAATGCATGAATTTATGATCATATGCATATGTTTGATTTGGGTATATGTGATATATATTACAGTATGTATTAAATGATTTGTGTGAATACATGTCTTGTGATAAGTTATATGAATTAATATGAATGATCTATATGATTACATGGGAATGTGAAATAGGTTATGTGATAGGTGACCACACATGTTGCATAGTATTTGTGATCAATTATAAGAATCAATATAATATATTTATATGACGACATGAGAAAGGTGATGAATTAAATAAGATTAGACTATAGAGTAATATGAGAATAATATATTAGTGAAGAGAATTGAGTATAAATGATGATACCAAACCATAAGATAAGTATTTACTTATAGGATAATATGAGATTATATGAATATATGTATAACTTTATGAGGAATAATTGAGTGTTATCTGATTTAGGTATGGCAATGATCTATGTGTAAGTAAATTACGTAATTATGTGACTAGGTGTGAAATGGAGTACATTAGGTAATTATAAGGTATGTGAATATAGGTATATAAGCTAAGCCACATGACTAGGAATTAGGTGAAATTAAATGGTGAGAATGATATGACAAAAAGTTATAAGAGAATATGTTATGAGAAGATATAAGAACAAGTATAAGCTATGTGATATGTGAGTATTATGAAGATGTTCTATGTGCAAGTGATCTTTGTGTATGTGTGATTTATATGGAAATGAACTACTTGACTACGTGTGATCTTATAAAAATGTAATAATAAGACATGTGACAAGAGATGTGTGATTACATGAAGGTATGATTTAAGATATGTGAAAGGGATCTATATGACTATTTGTCTATGTGAATACAAATATATGTGATATGATATATATGATAATGAGGTATGAGACTCTACGAGAATATTACAAGATCTACGTGACAAGAAGCTATGAGATTATATGCCTATGTGATACGAATGTGTGAATATGTGACAAACATAAATATTAATGCCCATGTTATGTGTCTTGAGAGCTAGAGGTATAGTTGGTATGCCAAGAGTCGAGTGTCTATGCGGTCCTTCAGGAAATATATGTATTCTTTGGAACATGTATGAGGTCTTTTGAGACACATATTTGGTCCTTAGCATATGTATATGATTCTTAAGGAATTTTCTACGTGGTCCTTAGGGACATTTTATATGGAACTTCGGTGCAATTCTACGCGGCACTTCGGTGCATTTATACGAGCTGTGGTGACAACATTAGTGCACAACCTCTAGAGACTCACATATCAATAGTTCTCACATATGTACATGGGCTAATCAAGAGATAATAACAAATATATATTGTGATATGATAAATTTTATAGAAAGGACATGATGAGGTATATGTATAGGATATGATTAAGCAGGTTAAGTATATGTGCTATGTTATTAAATGATAAGTGATTAACGATGATTTATATGTATGCATGTATTTCTTATTAGATAATCTGATATAATTTATATGATGATGTTTGTATTGCTTGGTTAATTGAATAATATGTTGAGTAAAAGAATAGATATAAGAGGATATAATTATAAGATATAAATGATAAGAATATTGATAGTGGAATAAGATTAGAGATTTAAAATAATGTATAATATTTATATGTGTATAGTATGTTATATATATATAATGTTATATTGTTTTGATGTGGCATGATAAGATGATATGTTCATACATGTTTAAGCATTTAGAGTTTCCTTTATAAGTTTAATGTCTCACTAAGTCATAGACTTATCGTGTGATTGTTTCACACGTAGGTT